GAGAGAGAGAGAGAGAGAGAGAGAGAGAGAGAGAGAGAGAGAGAGAGAGAGAGAGAGAGAGTTGGGGGAATGATGGAGCAGTTATACCAGGCGTTCGATTCCGGTGACCTTGTGATAGTGTTAACCAACCATCTTTTTAAACCGCCAGGACAGGGTGCCAATGCTGAAAAGAAACTCGTCTGCGAGAAGTTTGGGGCCGGCGCGCCATTGATAAATTCCATCAATGGCTGGCGTTGTGTTTCGGGCCTCCGAAACTCGTTGTGAGGGGCCCACGGCCGAGATGTATGGCCGTGTACTGGTGGCTTAGAAACTTTCGAGTTAAAAGAACCTAACCTAATGAGTTGACCGCAGGATAGTGTCTGCTTGAGAGAGTTCGATGGGAGAACGCAACCAATTCCGGATGAAAGAGTTTTTGCAACGTTGTGGTTGTTATCGAAGGGGCTCGTCTCTGCTGGTGCATCTTCTTTTACTGATGCTTGTCAATTGTTTCTAAGGTGTCATTTTTTGTTTGGGCATTTGTTGGATGTGGTCATGGTATCTATTACAGGAGCGGGTACTTCAATTCCAGTAGAGACAGTCTCTGTAGCTGGCCTTGGATGGCTGTGGGGATTGATGGCTCTCATCATTATGGGGGCAGTTGTGGCCCTGGTTGTGCTTGCCTACAGAGCATGGCGAACAAGTCGGCAGAATACGGGATGGAGACGTCCAAATGAAATGGAGATGCTTCTGAGATGATTCGTTTGAGTAGAATGGTGGAAATTCTGTTTTGCTCAAAAAGGCAAAATGAATACATCCATCAGTTTCCCTTCCTCTCCCTTATTGTTTGCATAGCTTCAGAGAAGTGCAGACCCTCTCTCTCTCTCTCTCTCTCTCTCTCTCTCTCTCTCTCTCTCTCTCTCTCTCTCTCTCTCTCTCTCTCAAAACCTCTCTCTCTCTCTCTTATTCCCTCCCTCCCCCCCCCTCGGTGTGTGTGTGTTTGTGTCATGTTTTGTCCAACCCCCTTGCTGTGCGCAGTTGGGTGCTCTGGGATTATTATTGGATGGCTCAGATCTTTCTGGGATTATTATTGGATGGCTCAGATCTTTCTGGTGGATGTGAAGCATAGCCGGGAAAGTGTGTGGCACCGTTTGCTATCGGGGCTGGGGACTTTGTTGCGTAGTTTTTAGGAGGATAGATAGATGAGGCGAGAGAGGTAATAATGCCTAATTCAGAGTTCCCGTTGGCCAGGGCAAGCTTAAGTGCTGTCGGGATTGTCATAGAGCTGGGCACCTCAGTGAGTAGTTCATTGGAGGATGGACAGGGTGTGTTAGGTAATACCGCTTTGTTTTCTTTTCTTTTTTCTTGAATACAGCTGATAAGCTGGGAGCATTTTCATGCAAATGAAATGCGACTGATTCATCTTCGTTGGACCAAGTGTGAGAGCTGTTATGACCGTCATACTGTTGGTTTGGACTGTGGAGAGTTAACACAGGCTTCGAGACTGGGAGAAAGATTTGCTATTCGGAGATTTTTGTTCAGCCTCAATTTTCAAGGTGAGGCATGGTACGGATTTGTGCCCGCCCCTGTCCCCCCCCTGCCCCCCTGCCCCCCGACCCCCCTTTTCCTCGGGGCTACTGGGCATCTCATCAGCACTAGCACCAGATATCTGCAATGAATGATAGATCGTCATGGAGAGCTGCTGAGCGCATGCCGTTGCATTAGCTATCTATAAGCAGATGTGTGTTTTTCAATCAATGATTGGATAGCGACGAGTGAGCTTGCACGAAAGTCTGGAGCATTATGAACTGAGTTTCTTAAACTGCTCCCTGAGATGGCTTCAGAGGAGATGTGAGGCATTTTTGAGAGCAGGCTGGTACTGGGGCGAAAGTGTGGAGCATTATGAACTGAGTTTCTTTAGCTGCCCCCTGTGGTGGCTGAGACGGCAAGTTAGGCTTTTTTGAGAGCATACTCTCTGACTTATGCTAGGCTTTTTTGAGAGCATACTCTCTGACTTAAGCTGCCCCCTTAGATGGCTTGAGAGGGCAAGTTAGGCGTTTTGAGAGCATACGCACATTGGGGGCTTAGTCTGGATGTATGTGACCGCAATTACAGGACTTAGTCTGCATGTATGTGACCGTGATTACAGGACTTAGTCTGCATGTATGTGACCGCAATTACAGGACTTAGTCTGCATGTGTGTGACCGCAATTACAGCATGTGCAAGATGCAGCTGACTGCCATTTTGAATAGATCGGTCGGGAAAGGCCTGGCATGAGTACGTCCTTTGAGTGGTTTTGCAAACTGGGTCTATTGTTTTGACAATCAATTGGTCATGATGATATATATTTATAACCACTTTGAAACTGACTGTGACAGGAGGCACTGATTGCCGGGCTTGTAGTCTGGCGCATACTCGTGCCAAAGGCACAGGGACAGGGCTTAAGTGCCCAGATCATCGCTGCATGGATCTGCAGCACAACTCTATCATCCAATCATGCCTCATCCTTGCTCTCTGTGTAAGCGAAGCGGTGGCAGTTCTGTAAATTCCATGTCTCATCTTCGACATGTTGGCAGTGTCGGAGGGGCCCCTGACAGCTTGCCAGGTCAGTTTGTCAGATTCCTTTGCTACCATTCAATCAATAAACACCTCCTTCGCAACCTTCTGCAGGAGTTGATGGTGGTGCTTCTTTGCATACATATTGCTTAGTCACTCTGACAGAGCACAATCATCAAATGCGTTCGAATGCTCCTTTGGGTTTTCACATTTGGCAATAAATACACTTTTGCATCTTTGATTTCAGCGGTGAATTTGTAGTTGTGCAGCATGTTTCAGGGCACTGAATTTCGGCATGCTGTAGTCAAAATTGCTTTCGTGTATGCTCTCTGAATTCAGCACAGAAACGCAATCGGGTTCTACCAGATTCACTTGAGACGAATGCGGTCCAATTGCTCCGGTCACTAACTTATACCAGAACTTGATCAGAGCTTCTCTCTCTCTCTCTCTCTCTCTCTCTCTCTCTCTCTCTCTCTCTCTCTCTCTCTCTCTCTCTCTCTCTCTC